GGTCTCAGATTCCACGGCTTCAAAATCGGTGCCTCTTCGGGGAGTTCCGAATAAGACTCACGAACGTCCGGATCTTTAACGGGTTTCCGGCAAGTCGAAGTTCTGCGACAGGTTTCAGGGAGATCCGGTTTTCTGTGACGATTCTGCCGCCGATTGAGGGTTTTCAGACACGGTGGTCGATATGGCTGAAAACAAAGAAAAAGAACACAGTGGGCGTGATGGACGAAAACAAGGAACAGGGCCAGGAGGAAAAGGTCGTGGCGGCCAAGTCAAGGCCCATACAGCCAAAGTCTCTGCACAAGGCAAATCAATCGATGCAGTCAAGACTGGGTTAAATGGACTAAGTAGTGAGCAGTGGAACATGTTACTCAACCTTTTGAACACACAGAGAGAGGGGAGTCAACAAAGTGGTAAGCGAAAATTGTCAGAGTGGATAATAGACACAGGGGCTTCTCATCATATGACAGGAAGTCTCGAGTTGATGAGAGACTTAAAGAACATCATTCCATGCTCAGTCGGGCTGCCAGATGGGAAAGCAACAATAGCAGAGAAAGAAGGCATAGTTGCGATGGACGATCATCTGAAACTGACTAATGTTTTATATGTGCCTAGTTTGAACTGCAATCTAATTTCGATGTCGCAATTGATTGAGGAGTCGAATTGTGTTGTTCAGTTCACTAATAAATTCTGTGTGATATAGGACCAAACTACGAGGAAGCTGATTGGAGCGGGTGAGCAGCGAGAGGGACTCTATTATTTCCGGAGCATTGCATCAGCGAGAGCAATGAAGACTACAGAGAGCAAGACCTGTGATATTTGGCATCAAAGGTTAGGGCATCCTTCTCATAAAATTGTTAAGTTGCTGCCTTTTGTAAGTACTAAAAATAATAAGGATGACAGTATTAAGGGTTGTGATGTATGCTTCCGAGCTAAACAATGTCAAGAAAAGTTTGTTTCTAGTAATAACAAAGCATCCGATATTTTTGAGTTAATTCATTGTGATTTATGGGGTCCTTATTTCTTGACAATAGTAGATGATTTTTCTGGAGGTGTTTGGATTTATCTTCTGATTGATAAGACAGAAGTGGGACAAGTTCTTCGAAATTTTTTTGCTATGGTTCAAAGGCAATTTAACAAACCTGTCAAAGTGGTTCGTACTGATAATGGGACTGAGTTTGTCTGCTTGGCTAGTTATTTTGCTCAGCATGGTATTATTCATCAGACCACTTATGTCGGGACCTCTCAACATAATGGGAGGGTTGAACGCAAACACTGGCACATACTCAATGTTGCCCGAGCATTGCGTTTTCAAGCTAGCATGCCTATTGATTTTGGGGGGGAATGTGTACCGACCGCATGTTATTTGATCAATCGGACACTGTCCATTCTGTTGAAGGGAAAGACTCCCTATGAAGTTTTATTTGGGCGACCTCCTTCTTATGATAATGTGCGAGTTTTTGGTTGCTTGGCATATGCACACAATCATGGACACGGAGGGGATAAATTTGTCAGTCAAAGCAGACGGTGTGTTTTTGTTGGGTATTCTTTTAGAAAGAAATGATGGAGCTTGTATGATTTAGAGTCTGGCACGTTCTTTGCATCAAGAGATGTTATTTTTTTAGATGATGAATTCCCTTATGCACGCAAGGAGGATGAACAACCAAACAAAGCACAAGGTCAATCTCATTGTGGAATAGGTGGGACAGATGAGGTGTTGGTACCGTCCACTTATTTACCAGGACAAGCAAATGGCGAAATGGAGACTGACCAGCGAGGTGAACTCGCAGAAGAAGGAGTCAGTGTAGAAGAAGGAACCCACGTAGACCCAAATGCCAATACTAGTGAACCCATGCATTCTTCTGACGTCACCACAGAAAATGCAAGCGAAGATAGTCATGACGTCGAGGGGTGGCAATGTTGAGCAACAACAGTACTCTGATTCTCTTTTAGGGCGTGGGCATCGACAGAAACAGCAGTCCACAAGGTTAAGAGACTATGTGCTTCACACCACACAATGCTTGAGTCCCTCTCCGCGTCCCTTTGCAAGCTCACTCGGCCAATCACATCCTGCAGGTAGTCCTTATCCCATAGAAAACTATGTGAATTGTAACAATTTTTCTTGTCGACATCGTGCTTTCTTGGCAGCTATTACTGCAAGAGTTGAACCTACTTCTTTTGCTGAGGCCGTAAAGGATGAAAAATGGAGGGATGCAATGCAGAAAGAAATACAGGCACTTGAGAATAATCAGACATGGACCGTAAAGCCTTTGCCATCTGGAAAACGAGTCATAGGATGCAAATGGGTATATCGAATCAAATACAACACTGATGGGACAGTGGAAAGATACAAAGCCCATCTCGTGATATTTGGGAACAAGCAAGTTGAGGGAATTGATTATAATGAAACTTTTGCCCTATTTGCAAAAATGGTTACTGTCCGCACCTTTCTTGCAGTCGCAGCAGGTAGAAATTGGGAGCTTCATCAAATGGACGTACATAATGCATTCTTGCACGGTGACCTTCATGAGGAAGTCTACATGCGAATGCCTCCTGGCTTTCAATCAGATAAACCAGGTATGGTGTGTCGGTTGCGAAAATCCCTGTATGGCTTGAAACAAGCGTTGAGATGTTGGTTTGCTAAATTAACCGCAGCCTTGAAGACATATGGGTTTCAGCAATCAGGTTCAGATTACTCCCTATTCACCTTTCGTCGAGACAGAGTACATGTGCTTGTCCTCGTGTATGTGGACGACATTATCGTGTCAGGTAATAATCATATGGCAATTCAAGTCTTCAAGAAATATTTGAGTGACTACTTCCATATAAAAGATTTGGGACCATTGAAATATTTTCTAGGCATTGAAGTTGCTCTAAATTCAATAGGAATCTTTCTGTCTCAACGAAAATATGCTCTAGATATTATCGCTGAAGTTGGATTACTTGGTGCAAAACCTACTCCTTTTCCTATGGAGCAGAATCACAATCCGGCCTTGACAGATGGGCCTCTGTTGTCTGATCCTGAGCGATACAGGCGCTTGGTGGGCAGGCTGATTTATCTCTCAGCAACTCATCCTGAGTTGTCTTATTGTGTGCACGTTCTGTCCCAATTCATGCAGCAACCGCAAGAAAAACATTGGGAGGCTGCATTGCGAGTGGTGCACTACTTGAAAGGAAATCCTGGTCAAGGAATTCTCTTGCGTTCAGATTGTGACTTGCAGTTATACGCATAGTGTGATTCAAACTGGGCGAGCTGTCCTTTGTCCCAACGTTCCCTTTCTGGGTGGTTTATTCTACTTGGGAAATCTCCGATTTCCTGGAAAATTAAGAAACAACACATTGTGGCTCGTTCTTCAACGGAAGCAGAGTATCGGTCTATGGCCATGACCATGTGTGAATTAAAATAGCTGAAGGGATTGTTATTGGCCCTTGGAGTGACGCATTCGAACCCAATGCGATTATATTGTGATAGTCAGGCATCCTTGCATATTGCAGCAAACCCAGTGTTTCATGAGCGTACGAAACATATTGAAGTTGATTGCCATTTTGTTCGTGATGAGATTCAAAATGGTTGCATTTGTCCTGCTTATGTGTCGACTACCGTTCAGCTGGCTGACATTTTTACAAAGACACTAGGTCGTAGAGAATTTGAGTACTTTCTTCACAAGTTGGACATTCACAATCTGCATGCTCCAACTTGAGGGGGGTGTTAGGATTGCAAGGATTTAGGATTGAATTAGGAGTCATTTTGTTGTAATTGAATCAGGAGTCTATCGAACTGTATATATATTGGCATTCTCAGTGAATAAAATCAAGAAAATAGAAACCAGAAAAACTCTGCTTTTACACTCTTGCACTTTTGGACATAGATCCGATTCATATCTAGTCTTTAACTCCAAACTCAACCATCCTCGGCACACCTTATTTTCCTATTCTATATAAAGTGGGTACATCAAAAAAGGTTCTTGTTTACAACTTATAATGACGGAAGTGGAAGTCTTTTTCCTTATAAGTACTTTTTGACTAAAACTAAGCCGAGATTGGTAAAAATATAGTTTTTGCCTAGTCACCACGCAAAAAATAAAAATAAAAAAAAAGTTGAAACATAATCTCCTCCGTGGTATTCTTTGTGCGTTTGCCACCAAAGGAATTGCTGAATTGGTCGTAAATTACAGTACTTCAAGAAAAAAAGGACACAGTTAAATGTCAAGTATCCCAAAAAATGCCACGCGGTTAATGGTCACCGAAAGGCCTAGAACATGCCATCAACCGTATGATTTATGTTTTACTCTACTCAAATTACTAGGTGTCAATTTATGGGCAGGCGTTGATGCATAAAATGTGGATTATTGAACTTTCGAATGCTTATAGATCTGCATTGAAAATCAGAAATCTGTATTGAACAAATCCCTAAGTTTATACAACTTTTCCCGGACGTCAAGTACACGAGGCAAAATCAGCAGGCAGCTGGAAATGGAATTGTATTTTAAGTACTTTCTTGGCCCATTAAAAACGCTTTCAGCGTGTAGCCGAAAATACAAAAAAACTCTTAGTTTTATGACAATCATGCAAACCTCCTCTATGTTTTCACTTTAACAAAACCCTCACTTATACATTTTACCAAATACGCAACTATAAGCCGCCTAAGGTATTTATTTTTTTAAATACCTATTTCGCCCTCCCTCTAAAACACTATTCATTTTCTTCCTAAGAACTAAGAACCTGAGCCGTCAGTCTTCCATCGCATACCCATGGCCTTTCTCATAAATAGAAGCAATTCCAAAGAGCTTAAGACATGGTCTATCAATCTGTCGCTCCCATTCCCTCTCCCTCTTCAAACATAGTTTACAGGAAAAATGAAAGGTTGCAAGATGGAGTTGCTTTACAGGAAAAGCAAAAAGTTGCAAGCTAGGCTGCAACTCGTTACAATAGTATTTGATGATGTGAAATCTGATCTCTCCCTCGTGTCTAGTGATTGGGCTCGAACAAGGTCCTAATCTGGCAGTGCCGAGTTGCACGGCCAAGCCGGTATCTGCGTGTCCGAGCAAGAAAGAGTTGTAAAGAGAGAAGTGTGAAAGTACCTGGGAAGGTTTTATCCAGGAGGACACTCCAATGCTTAAGTCAGTATGGAAATTTTATGAGAATGTGTGAGATCTTAAGAGCTTCAGGGCGCATACCTTTTGATCAGATTTTGGGGTCCTTTTATAGTCATCTCGCATTCAGGTGCCTTGGGCAACCTCTCTGAATCTTTACCAGAGATGTTTCAACAATACAAGGTGTGATAGTATGTCAGTTGCTAGATTCGCATGGCGGTTACAGGTCGCCTATGGGTCTTGTGGCGCACGGTTCGGCAAGCTGCTCCTATG